CTCCTTCCCAATTCCTGCGACAGGTACAGAATATCAAGATGACAAGAGCCACCCCTCCACCGCGCTTCTGTCTCCTCACCTACCCCCGAACAGGCTCCAATCTCCTCGTCAAAATCCTCAACCTCGACAACCAGCCCGCCCTCGCCCCTTGCAAGGATGGCGGGTACTTCTTCGCACGGCTCAATCTCCTCCGCTACGACATGGGCTGCGCCGGCGCCCACATCAAGGACCTTAGCGAAGACCAGCGCGCGAAGGAAATGGCCTGCATCCAGGAGTGTCTCCAAGCGCTGACCCAGTACGTCCATGAAGCGGAGCAGCAAAACAAGGGGGTGTTCTTCAAAGAGCACACGCACATGATCAGCCATCCGGTTGCGAAGACCAAGTTTGTTTTCGGGGCAGATGGCATCGACGACGAGGCGGTACTAGTATCGCAAGATCAATCGCCGTACAACCAGACCCTCCTCCCAGACGCGTTTCTCGGGACATTGAGGCCGACTTTCTTGATCCGCCACCCGGCTCTGGCCTTCCCGTCGTACTACCGTGCTGCGCGCAAGGCTGACGGGGACCTGTATCTCCGTTCGGAGCAGGGGAGGCGAGTGTGTCGCAATATTATGACGCTGCGTTGGAGTCGCGAGCTCTATAATTTCTACGTGCAGCACTTCCATGGGACAGGGACCCTCTCCTCCGCTCAGGAAGAGATCGCCTGGCCTCTCGTCTTGGATGCAGATGATATTATGACTAACCCGGCGGTGGTGATCCGGTTCTGCGAAACTCTGGCATTAGATCCTGCGCAACTGCGGTTCCAATGGGACAAGGACGAGCAGCAGAGACGTCCCGGTCTCATGGCTTTCCGGTCGACGATCGACGGGTCTACTGGGATTGACGTCTCCAAGGCCTCTGGGGAGACCATCGATCTTGACGAAAGTGCGAGGCAGTGGAGAGAGGAGTTTGGGGAGGATGCTGGGCAGATGATCGAGATGTATGTGCGGGAGGCGATGGCTGACTATGAGTTCTTGAAGGAGAGAAGGTTGAGAGCTTGAGAATAGTATCGACTTGTTCTAGTCATAAGGGGATTCAACACTCCTTAGACCACTTTTTCCGGAACAGGACTAGATTAGGGCTAATTTTGACCCGGTGATTCATCCTGGAGTATGGGGCAAGACGAAGTATTTCAACTGTGCAGAATACCTTCAAAGGACAAAGGGGAGGCTGTGTTTATAACAGACTTAAACGTGACGTGCACTTATTGTTCGCAGCTACTGAAGACGATACTAAGAATCAGCTATATTTGCACCCGAACATGGCCCACTTCTCTGCCCTGTGATCGCAGTTGGGGTTCATGCACTTCGTAGTGTTAGTATCAATGCCTTCACCTTGAGCCTGAAACAGAATGCACAAACAGCCGATGTGAGTAGACAGCGACTGTTCATCGGCTTGGATGGCATTCTCTATGTACTTCTCACAACATTCGTTCAAGCAGTGCGGCGCCAGACAAACTATCTTGTCTTGAGTGGCGCTGACGAAATCATCCCACATAGTGACTTGCCGTATACGCGATTGGAAGTGTCTATGTGCTTGTCATACATATCCTTTTGGATCGTATCCACCAATGCCGGGATTCTCGAAGGCAGCTCAGAGATGGCCATCTGAGATCTAGCATCTGGAGTACCCCGAAGATCCCTTCTGATCGCCACCACACTCTGACCGGCACTTTGACTTGGACCAACTTATGGAATAGAGGGACACTGCTGATAATCCACTCGTTATACTTCCAGGCAGGGGAGGCCCCATCCCCGGTTATCAACCACGGCGCGGACACCAAACTGAGGAAAGACGAGCGACAAGACTCTCAACCTGCACGTGAAGATTCTGGGTTTCTTCAACTGAATAAAGCCACTGTGCAACAACAAGGACCTGAGTCTTGGCTACACGTGGAGAAATAATAAGGCCACGGTTATCCCCATGCACTGCTATCGTCAACCCGATAGCTCGAGCAGAGAGACGACATGTATTCTGCCACACATGCAGTGGCGGCATTGTATCTGTCGACCGATCCTCGACTGCAATATCATATTTCTTGCTGAGCCCTTGGCCTAATTCATGACATGTCGCACCTTCAACGCACTGATTGATCCCAGGAATATATCCTAAAACGATACTGGTTCTGAGATCGTTAGGATGACTAGTTCTCTTGCTCTTTAGCCCATTGACTACCGGAACAGATAAGAGATCCTAATACAATGATGGGTAAGTATCAAAGCATGAATTGAATCCGTTGGGAGGCATCTTGCTCTGTGGAATGAGCAGTGTGACTTTCCTGCCACAGAAGGTCGTCGCACCGGAGAAGTAACTCGGGATCCTGTCCCATTCGGCATCCCATGCCCCAGTGATTCAACCCGAAAGGCAAATCCTGGTAGCGTTTAATCCATTCCTTGCAGCACGCTTGGACGACAGATTCCTTAGACGGCTTGTTTCCGGTGGTCCCCGCGGTCGCTTCGGTTTCAATGTCCAAGGCAACAGGAGGGATGTAATAGCTCTGTACTCCAATAGCCTCCAGTTGGCAGTTCATCCAAGCTTTCACTCTCTCTCCCAGATCGAGCACGCAGCCGGCTTTATAGAGGTAGTTAGACTAGGTGTGGCTGGCAAAAGGACAGGAAAGAAGGTCCTATCACCAGGGCCCATGGCTGATGATAATGGAGGCAAGCATACCTTAAGAATCAAGCACTTGGAGATAGGATCCTGATCCACCATGTCGCCCTTAACTAGGATCTCCTCGTACCATTGTTCAAAGTCATCCTCTTTTGCGACTTGAATCCGCGGAACGGGCGTTCCGATAATCTTCACTCCGCACGAAGACATATTGATACCAGCAGTTGTCCTCACAGTATGGGGGAACAAGAGTACTGTATGGACTATCAAACGTCTACATCCCCACGTCAGTAGCTCTTTTCTCGCTGCGCTCCTATGGCTGGTGAGATAGATTAATGAACAGGGAATATTCCATGAAATAGTGAACCGGTGATGTAATCGAGATGGTGCCCGGCAATGGTAGCAAAGAATAGCGCACCAAAGGCCTTCTAGACTCTGGTCTAAACAAAAGTCGTGACTTGGCATTAGGTGTGCACAATCACCCCTCAAGTTCGCACAGCTCGCGAGATGAGTTCGCGGCTACACTCGTCCCTAGTCCTTTCCAATAGACATACGAGATTTTGGTAATAGCCATTGTTGCCGTCTCTCTCCTAGCCAACGCGAACGCTTACGATCTGTGCCTGTTCAAAGAGACCCAAGGTAGGGAAACTTAGGAGTTGAAAGCACCGGCATCGAAGAGTCGAGTTTCTGGTTAACCATGGCAAAGTCTCACCGCTGGGTTAAGTTAGTATACTGTCCTTGTTGTATGTATATTATTGCAGTTTCGATCCATATATGCCCTCGATGAGGTGGAGCAGTATTAGTACTAATTCTATGCAGGATTTCAAGGCTTACAATGTAGCCTTTATTGGTATGATGATTGGGTAACTAATTTCTCCTTGTAAATAGCCAATATAAGCCTGAAATGCCTGTACGTACATACAGACGTCGACAATAACACGTGCTCACGTGATCCATTTTTATCTCCGCCGAAAGCTTGCCCAGTACGTCAATCAGATACTTCCGCGGCGGTTCGAAGTAAAAGTCCACCATTTCCGTGTTCCTTCCCTCGCCGACGAGTGTACTATGATCGCGGCGACCTATCTAACCTAATCAAATTTCATTTGTTTCTATTGTCGATTTCCCGCTGATTCCAGATCAAATCACCATGCCACCCCCGCTACCTTCCCAACACCGCGGTATGACCGCAAACCCACTCAAACCTAGCCGGTACCGACCTGGAAAACCGATTGCCGAAGAGCCCTCGTCATCTGAGGAAGAGGAAGAGGAAGATGAAGAAGAACAGATCAAGGAGCAGGAGCGACGCAGGCTGGAACAACAGCGCAGGCAGCGGGCGCAGGCGCCGAAGGCGACTTCTTTCCCCGGTGGGAGCATTACTAAGGGTGTGAAGAATGTGCAAATAGAAGAGGAGGAGGATGAGGAGGGCTTCGTTACTGAGGAAGAGGAGGAAGAGTCGAAACCTGCCCCTCGTGTTGCTGGCGACAAAGGGGGTGCGGCGGCCGCAGCTCCTGTTCAGGCAGCCAGTGGACCGGTGAGCAAAGAGGAAAGTGAGGAGGAAGAGGAAGAGGAGGAGAGCTCTGAGGAAGAGAGTAGTTCGGAGGAGGAGACGCCGAGGAGGGTTCTTCTACGACCTACATTTATCAAAAAGGACAAGCGCAACAATGCAGCAAATCAGACACAGAATGGGCAGGGAGCAGCACCTAAAACAACCGCTGCGGATTCAGCGGCGGAGGCAGAGGCCCGCAGAGCGCAACGACAAGAAAAGGCCGATATGTTGGTGCGCGAGCAATTGGAGAAGGACGCAATCGCCCGGAGCGCTGCAAACAAGCAATGGGATGACGATGAATTAGAGGCAGTTGAGGAAAGTGGCCTTGACGATAAGGATGGAGTAGACCCCGAAGCTGAATATGCCGCCTGGAAACTCCGCGAACTCAAGCGCGTCAAGCGAGAGCGTGAGGCAATCGAAGCCGCCGAGAAGGAGCGCGAAGAGGTCGAGCGTCGTCGGAACTTGACAGCGGAGGAGCGTGAACGCGAAGACCGCGAATTTATTGCCAAGCAGCAAGAAGAGAAGGAAGCTACTCGAGGACAGGGAGGATTTATGCAGCGCTACTTTCACAAGGGTGCCTTCTTCCGCGACGACCTGGAGAAGGAAGGATTGGACCGGAGAGAACTCATGGGTGCCAGATTTGTGGACGATGTATCACGCGAAACTCTGCCTGAGTACATGCAGATTCGAGATATGACAAAACTTGGAAAGAAGGGTCGGACACGATACAGGGATCTGAGAACGGAAGACACAGGGCACTTCGGTGATGGCTTTGAAAATAGACGTCGTCGCGACGCTCCGGTCGGCGTCAGAGATGAACGATTCCTGCCAGATCGGCCAGATGACCGACGTAAGGGGCCTACGGGAGCCAATGCTGGTCCGGTGCGGGAGAGACGGAGGTCGAGATCTAGATCACACTCACCAAGACGGGACCAACGACCTGACAGAAGGGAGCGCCGTGAGAGTCCCAGCCGGGACCGTTCGAGAGATCGGCACGGCCCTGACTCAGGCAATCGCAGGAAACGGAGCCCTTCTCCGTATGACGATCGCGAAAAGCGCAGACGGATGAGAAGTGTTTCGTAAAGAAGCAACAGAAAAGTGCAAATAGAATCATTTTATTCCTATTGGCGTTGTGGGTATCTTGAAAGCATGGGCGGGTTAGGGTTATGACGCTTTGCATTGAGAAACCAATGTTTTTTTTGCCTTTCCTCCTGTATTTAATGAGGCCTCATCAGAGGTGACATAAATTATACCGGGTTGCCTTCTGGTCGCAACTTGGACAAATGATCAATTGGACATCTGCTTAGGCACAAATGTGTAGCACGATGTCACCAGCTTGCTCAAAAATCTTCCCTCTGTATAAACATAAACGCCGTAGCCGTAGTTGACCGCATTGGGTATGTCCTCGTCCCGTTCCAAACATCGAATGGTAGTCCCTAACACCAAGCATGGTCGACGGATTGATAACCTTACCACCCTCTATCATAGCCGACGTCCAAATTGATCACAGTAGCCAGCCAGAAGTATCAATTAGTCAAAGGACCACTGTCCTAATACGGGTCGTGTGTTGTGGCGAGTTTATTTGATGCCCGCCCTCTCCAATACCTTCTCCCTTTCCATGACGCTCTCCCCAAAGCGTACTAAGAAGATCGTCCGACCAGGCCACATCTCCGTTGGCTGATTGTGAGCCGTAACCTTGGCCTCGAAGCCACAACCGTCACAGACGCCTTCAATGATTCCCGCCACGAAGGCTGCACAATTAAGCATGCTCATTTCCTTGGGTACACTGATGTATGTGTTTACAAGCGGGTCATTATCCGTAATCATATATTCGTTGGGTGTGTCGGGGGACACGGAGTGCTCGAGAGCATCTGCAGGGCGATTGAAAAGGAGTCGCCAGAGGGGGCCGTGGATGAGATGGAGCAGGGGCAGGATACGGAGGGGTCGGTTAGGTGGAGCGGCAGAAGTCGACGAGCTAGATAAAGATGATGAGGTTGAGCTAGACATCGTCCGGTAGTAGAGTAGATCAAGAAGACGGAGCCCCAGGGGGTATCCTTGTTCGTTTAATCTGGCGCTTGTTCAGTACAGGTGACGGGCCTCAACGCAGCATTTCCATGGAACCCACCGTTTCTCCAGATCCTGAATGCCCGTTACCCTCCTCTGGGCATATGTGACCATCTCCGCGAAGAGAAAGGCGAAACTTGCCCGGCTGAGCTCCGCAGTTCGACTGCGATTCAAATGTCTGTCATAGATGGTCTTCCGGTTCGAAGGGACGCGCAACCCGGTGTTCGCGATGTGCTGGATCTGCTGCGGTGGCTGCTGCTTGTCGCTGGCATTTGCCTGGTTTGGGGCGCTGTTACTGACAGACATCATCGCAGAATGTCGGGTGGGTTGTGCCATGTTGGAATGACTTCGTAGGTGTTTGATAGATTGCAGTAGTAAGTGACGGAGGTTAGATCAAGTTATGGATATTGCTTCATGGTGATGGACTTTAACTTGTCGATGAAAGAGAGTATCAACCGATTCCAATTCCACAGGGACTCGCGGGGACCAAAAGAGAACCGCCTATGCACTGGAATGGCTGGTCCATATACACTCGTCGGTCGATTGTTGTTCCTCCGTATCGGGCGGTTTGGGGTTCTTACGGCGGGACACACAGACACGCAACGCAGTTTCAAGGACCAGACGAATCTCGCAAGATATCGTGGACTACGAACCCTGCAGTAGCAGAACCCTCTACGACTACAAAAAAGGACGTCTACACGGGGTATGCAAAAAATGTTTCATAATGCAAATCAAATTCTTCATATAGTCTAGATAGATATTGTCCGCAAGAAGTTTCTGTAACGTCGGAAACAATCAAGTCCTTCACTCAAAGGCCTTCTGATGAGATCCTTCCAGTTAATTATGGAAGGGGTTGTCATATCAATTGATCAAGCTACCTGTACTAAGCATACATCGTTAGCGACAATCTCGCAACACAATCATGATGCTCAAGCATATCAAATCAATGACCATGTCAGACATCCAAGGAAGTATTGCGCACAGAGCACGTCTGAAATAGGTTCATAGCGACGGCTAGCGTGGAAACTGCGAATGTGGGAAAAATTTTCATCATAAGAGCCCGAAGGCCTTTGGTCGATTGAAGATACGCAAGAGGGAAAAAATTGATCGAACTCACCTAGTTAGTGCGAACAATTTGAGGTGCATGGAGATTGTCGAATAGCATGACAGCGCTATAAATTATAGCCAGTCAAAGTTGGACTGAAAGTCACATTAGACTCCAGTTAAGAACCAGTGTGGTGGTTGTCGTGAAGTTGAGAGTATGAAGGAAAAAAAATTCGGAAGGAGAGGGCTATTTATAGTCGGCCTCAGGCTGCCCGGGAAACCTGCCGACCCATACGAAGCTTCTAGAGAATAGCAAAAATTGATACACACCTCCACAACATGCGAAATCGAATGTTCCATTGGTTTTCAATTATTCATAGAATTCGTCGAGGCTCAAATCTAGGACATCATACCTATATCTATTTTCAAAAGAGGTACTGCACATGGTACCAGTAAAATATATAGTTTTCATATGCTTCATCACAAGTACGTACATACATTAAGATCCCAAGCCATAGACTATATGCATACTCCCCTTTAAACAGACACCACAAACAGAAACCCTACCAGGATAATCATCATTATCTATTTTCCATGCAAAATGTACGAGACGAAACTCTTCCATCATGACTTGAGAGCCTTTTGCTTTTGCCTTGAATTCCAGTTTAATGTCTTTGAAATACTGTGGACCCAGTCATTGTTGCGCCGGTCTTGTGGTAGCACATTTGCGAATGGGTACCGTGAGGCGGAAACAGTCACGTAGTCACCTGGGTGCAATTCAACTCTGTCGTCGATGTTAATTCCGCTTCTCGCATTATGGAATGGCTCAGGGTGCACTCACCTTTCTCGACCATCGAAACTTGCCCACGAGGTGGTGCGTGCATCATAGGGTACACCCATTCTTAGAACGATGGTGTCTGGCAGTATGATCGGCCGGAAAGACAGTGTATGTGCGCAGATCGCCGTGACCAGGATAACGGGGTTGTCAGGGTGGCATAAAGACCCTCCAGCGGCTAGGTTGTAAGCCGTTGAGCCTGTGGGTGTAGCAATACAGACACCGTCTGCAAGCAGAGTGGTGAAATGCTCATCGTCGCCGAACAACTCAATGGAGGACATTGCTGAGCAGTCGTTAGCAGGATATTAAGGGACTATATAGCAAGAGTCTGTAAACATACTGGGATTCGGCCCCCGGTCGAGAACAACATCATTCAGAATTTGAACAACCTTTTCCGGCTTGTGTGTTAACGTGCCTTCAACTTCTTCGCCAATCAGCTCTTCTACCAGATCTCGTTTCTTCGAATGCGTTAATGGCCCATCTTCTCGCCTATTACTCCTCATGATTGTGCATTCAAACCGTAACCTCAAGCTAACGACAACACCGTCTTTAAATGCGGACCTGAGCGTCTTCTGGTAGTCATTAAAATCGAACTTGGTCAGGAATCCCAAGGATCCCAGTGAGAAAGAGAGGACGGGCGGTACTACTTGCTGGAAGAGCCAGCTCGTATAAAGAACCGTCCCATCACCACCCAGTGTAATGACGAAGTCAAAGAGATAGGCATTCTCGTAGACAAACTTAACATCCCAGAACTTGAGCCGATCAGCTGCAGAAGGTTCATCCTCCAACAATTGAGAAGCGCCGAAATCCGCAGCCGCCTCCAGTCGTCTCTCCACGTAGACATTATACTCCGTATCACGGTCTTTAGATAATAACCATTGCGTGACCTTTCTCGTAAAAGCAATCACGCTATCATCGCCCGCTTTGGTTACGACAAAGACATTTTTGACAGAAAGCTTGAGCTTGATGCTATCCAGCTTTTTCGATAGTTTTCGTACATTCCATGCCATATCAGATAACTGCTTTTTCGTCAGCTGCCGGGACTCCACGATGCTCTCGGATTGCCTTGGCGTCCAGTTGTCCATATCGGTGACGGTGACGCCATCGATATCTACGGCGGTATCGTCGAAGCGAGTTGCGTCGTCCAGCAAACCAGGTGCGATTCGTGCATCCCTTGCCTGGCCCGGGGGGCAAACCCATTCACCTGCGATCAGGGAATGCACGAAGCAGGCGGTCTTATCGTCTGCGCGGTCCAGGCGAGGCTTACCAGGCTCATTCGCCATGACTAGGGACGATTTGCGGCGGTGACTGCAACCGGGGGTAAGCACAACCTAGTGAAAGAACATCGCGATGTTAATAGCGCAACAGGGAACCAAAGTGCCGTCAAAGATACCTCTAATTTGTCGGAGTCCGTATCTCCCCGTGCCCCTCCATGGCCCTTTGAGACAGGTTAGCTACAGGTCCGATATAATCTGCAGCTCGACAGCCGTACAGCATAATCCCAAAACCGGCTTTGGTCCATGATTCAACAGCCAGACTCAAGTTTTAGATTGTCGGTTGATATGTTGGGGAGCTATCACTGAGGTTTCATCGAGGTCGCAGCTCGAGCGGGCGTTTAGAGGTTCACGCCGCATTGAGTAGGTTGCGGCTATGACGTAGCTCCGCAGCATCAACAGCTAACATGCTTCTCAGGGAGTATCTAGAGTACGCCAGGCTTCACTGTAGATCATGGTATTTGATGGTAGCTAGCTGCAAGCAGACCTACTGAGAAAGACTTATCAATCAAATGTATATTAATTTTGAGGTGTAACAATTGAGTCGTAGTCATATCCCCAGCTAGACTATACCCAACGGTCGACTATCCCATGTATCTACAACCTCCCATCCCATGTCCTTCAAGCTATCCAAATCATGACTTGTCCCTGTGTGTAAGCTTTGGGGTGCATTCACATCCTTTCCAGATCGCTCTCGACCCCCAGGACTACCAGACAAGTCGATGTCCGCATTCTGTATCCTCTCCTTGAGCATATCCGTCCAATGATTCGAGTTCTGCTCACATGCAGAGAGAGCATAGGCAAACGAGAGCAAACGCCTCTTCGACTCCCACTGCGACGAGCATAGAATATGGTCCAGCCACATA